GTTAAATAAGAAAACAAAAAAAAATATAGTTGCCGAATCGCAAGTGCATAGTGAATGAGATACAGGAATGTCATAGTGAACTACTGCCTACTTTTCTGCAAAATGGATGAGTAATAATTGAGTGTCCCTAATGCTAAAAATATATACAGAAAAGACATCCAACCTTGTCTGTTTTCATTAAGGCCCTGAGCCTCAATGTCCGAAGCTGAGAAGTTTCACTGATCTGAGTGAGATTCCAGATCCTTGTTGTGTTCACTTCTTCCGGTAATCTGGTTGGTTTCACCTCCTTGAGGTTTCTGGTGCTATCACTCTGTAAAAACATGCTCAATTTATTGTAGACTAGAGCTAAATATTAAGATTACTGTAATTGAAAATATAGAATTGAGAAGGATGAAGCCAAAACATTGTTCATGATCGCGTGGTACGAAATTGCACAAGGAAAACATAATGCAACCAGCATCATATTAAATCCAGTTGCAATCCTTGAAAGTTTGCACCTTATACTCAGCTTAGAAATTTTGATAAGCTGACCTTTCTTGCAGTCTCAGGTCCATTTCTTGAAGCAATAATCGAGTGACTTTCAATAGTGCGCATCAGCCGAAGACCATCCATCGTAGCTAAAATTTTGACTCTGCAGTCGTTTGCAGAAATAGCCAATAAAGAGCCCTCCTTGTTGAAGCGAATGCAAGGACTAGCCTTCAAAAGGAAAATATTAATGTTTTAGTACAGCCACAATTCCATTAGAACATAAGTGCGCGTTATTGATGAAAATTTTAAAGGAAACTTACTGGTAGACCACCTTCAGCATCAATAGTACTCAAAATATTGGTCTTATCCATATCCCAAACTTTGATTGCATAGTCATCTCCAACAGCCAAATACTTATTCTTGCTTGTATCAAACTGAACAACACCTGAAGATTGTTTCTGAAATCCTATGTAATTCCTCTTTATTACACCATCATTTTCATTCCATTCAACAACATGAGACTCTCCATCTTTGCTTGTCCCGCACGAAAATAGCCTGCATTGAGTTCAAAGTAAAGATTGAATTTTCCTGTTGCCCAAAATATAGGTGAAGGTTGCAATAATATTAGAATGGAGTGGTATACCAACCTTTTACCATCTGCACTATAGGCCATTGTTGTGCATGAGTAACCAGGAGCATTGTAATCCACCCGGTATCCCAGATTGTCGTATAACCATGCTTTTATTTTTCCATTTACTGATGTTGAAAAGATAAACTGAAACACAAAGGCATAAGCTGAATTTCAAAACAAATGGGTAAATCATTCATAGAATTCAAATGAAGCGGGACAAATCAAGGAAAAGAAAATATGATAAAGCGAAGCCTTACATGGACATTTTCCTTGTTATGAGGACACACAGAATGCACGGGAGCATCATGACCTTCGAAAGTGTACAACATTGACCCAGTAGTTGCATTCCACACCTATAAATCACAAATCGGTGTATAAGTTTATCGTGTTTTCTACGACCTATTACATCACCACTTCTTCAAAGCCAACCTTAATGGCCTTATCATCACCGCAAGTTATGACACAAAGTTGCTTAGCTGGGTTGCCGAACGCCAAATCATTAACACTGCCAGCGTGAGCATCAATCTAGAAATCGATGGAAGTATTAGAAAAGAGAACCGCAAAATGAAATATACTGAAAAGGTAGAATATGCATAACCTACTTCCAAATGCTGGTGAATCTCATTCCCGCCAAAATAATCGTATAATTGGATAATGTGTTTAGAATATGCAACTCCTGTTTGAAAGAACAATTGCATTTAAATTTTCTAGAAAAAGCTACCATCTTTCGTATTCAAACTAACCAATCGAGAACTTACCAAATACAGTACCATCAGGACTCCATATTATACGCTTAACTGAGACGCATGGATCCTTGATCAGAGTTGCCTGAGTTTCATTAGAAACAAATAGGTTAAGATGATTCTAGTGACAAAATGCAATGTCGTCTGTATTATGACTCGGTTGATAAGGGAACATACCTTTAGCATCATTGAACTCGCTCCGATATCCCATACCTGAAAACTTCTTGACAGCAATTTCTCCCTAGAACTAACTTCCCACAAACTTATATCCCCCGCGTTAGTTCCGACTGGTACAAAAACACACTTGTCAACTTACTGCTTAAATCTAAAAAGTAATATTTTTTTCTCTTGGGATTGAAAAATTAATCGTCTTGTGTTCCAACAACGTCAATTAAAGGAAAGCTCAAAGAAATCAACCTAGAAATTATAGAAAACCTTAATGTATATTTCAGTATATCAAAACAGTTTACAAGATTAAGCATAAATAGAGGAATAATCGGGAAAGAGAGAGGAGAGTAGGGGACAATGGCAGCTAAGCAAGTCAGCTAAGCAAGCATGAGAGTATGATGACCTCCACACTCTCTTAACACATGCTTTACAGCTTATTAACAAGCTTTACACAGAAGAGGGAATAACACAGCTCACTAAACCCTAGCTAAACACAGCTAACACAGCTTTACAGCTGTTAGGGTTTAAAGAATTCAATAATATTCAATACTCCCCCTCAAGCTGGATCGAGAGATTTTCTGGATCCAAGCTTGAAGAGAATACGATCAAGTTGAGAAGAAGGAAGGGGCTTGGTGAACACATCGGCTAGTTGATCACTGGAGCGAACAAATGCAGTTTGTAACAGCTTGGACTGGACTTGGTTGCGGACGAAATGACAGTCAACCTCGATATGCTTTGTTCGTTCATGAAAGACGGGGTTGGCAGCAATATGCATCGCTGCTTGATTATCACAGTGGAGGAGAATTGGCTTGGAAGAGATGATGTCAAGATCATGCAGCAAACTCTTTAGCCAAATTAGTTCGCATGCAGTAGATGCCATTGCACGGTACTCAGCTTCTGCGCTGGACCGAGCTACAACAGATTGCTTTTTGCTCTTCCACGTGACGAGGTTACCACCTACAAGAGTGCAGTAACCAGTTGTGGACTTGCGATCAAGGACGTTGCCTGCCCAATCAGAGTCTGTGTATCCTTCAATGGTGAAGTGTCCGTTGTTTTGCATGAAAATCCCGGTAGACATTGAGCCTTTTAAGTATCGAAGGATCCTTTTAACAAGTTGCAAATGATGAGATGTGGGAGAATGCATGAACTGGCTGACAAAGCTAACAGCATAAGCAATGTCAGGTCGAGTTATAGTCAAATAGATAAGTTTTTCCTACCAACCTTTGATACTCCGATGCATTTTCAAGCTGGATGCCTGAGGTTTCATGCTTGAAATTTGTTGGTAGAGGTGTTTTAGCAGGTTTGCTGTGCATCATATTGGCTTCTTCTAAAAGATCGAGAACGTACTTTTGTTGATTTAGAAACAACCCCGTTGGAGATTGATCCATTTCGATTCCGAGAAAGTATCTAAGTCTGCCGAGATCTTTGATTGAGAATGTTGAATGTAAGGTGGCTTTGAGAGCATTGATTTCTTCTGGATTATCTCCTGTGACAATGAGATCATCAACATAAACAAGTACCACCAATCTTCCATGTGTGCCAAGCCTAGTGAACATTGAAGAATCTGCATTGCTTCGTTTAAAACCGGATGACATAAGGACAGAGCTTAGTTTTGAGTACCAAGCCCTTGGAGATTGCTTGAGACCGTAAATGGCCTTGTGAAGCTTGCATACTACTCCTTGTTCCTTCTCTCGTTCATGACCAGGTGGTAGGCGCATGTACACTTCTTCTTCCAACTCTCCATGAAGAAAAGCGTTTTTTACATCCATTTGATGTAGAGACCATTGTGAATTGATAGCCACCGAAAGAAGAACTCTAACTGTGTTCATCTTTGCCACCGGGGCAAAGGTTTCTTTGTAATCTACCCCGTAGGTTTGCGTGAAGCCCCTTGCAACTAACCTTGCCTTGTGCCGCTGGATGGTTCCATCTGAGTTAAATTTTGTCTTGTAAATCCATCTTGCCCCAACCACACGTTGATCTTTTGGCAGAGAAACAATGCTCCAAGTTTTAGTTTCTTCGAGTGCCTTCAGTTCCTCAAGCATAGCACATCTCCATATAGGAGATTGGTTTGCCTCTTCGAAGGATCGAGGCTCCGAGTGTTGAGATAACTTAGTGACAAATGCTGCATGAGATGGGGAGGTCTTGCTATGGTGAACCATTTGTCCAATAGGATATCTAGGCATGTAGATTTCAAAATCATCAAGCCTGGCTGGAGGTTGTCTGTTTCGAGAAGGATTCCTTCGTGGATGAGTAGGTTGTTCAAGGGGCTCTCTCCTTTCGTGGAGGACTTCTTCATTATTTGCTTCTATATTTTCATGAGCTGGCTCTATCTCAATTGCTTCATTGTGCGGTGTTGACAGTCTTGGATCATCAAGGACGAGAGGAGTGGGAAACACTTCATATGAGAGCTCCCCCTGAGGTTCATCATCATGCTTCTGAAAGAAGAAGTGTGTCTCATCAAACCGTACATCCCTGGATACAAACACCTTTCTGGTTTTAGAATCATAGCATTTGTATCCCTTTTGGGAAGTTGAGTAGCCTACGAATGCACACTTGATAGCCCTTGGATCAAGTTTATCTCGGTGAATAGTTTGAATATGCACATAGCACACACATCCAAACACACGGAGATGACTTTATGTCAATATCTCTCCCCTTGAGAATTTGACAAGGAGATTTAAACTTCAAGATTCTGCTAGGAAGTCGATTTATGATGTATGCAGCGGTTTGTATAGCTTGAGACCAGAACTTCTTTGGAAGGTTTGCTTGTAACATTAGTGATCGTGTTTTCTCAAGCAAATCTCGGTTCTTCCTTTCTGAAATGCCATTTTGTTGTGGTGTTCCTACACAACTAGTTTGTTGCAAGATTCCATGCTCACTTAAGTAAGTTGTCATGATTTTGGAAGTATACTCAGAGCCATTATCAGACCTTAAGATGCCAATATTAGAGTTAAAATGATTTTGAACTAAGTTATGAAAATTTTTGAAACACTGGAAAGCTTCGTGCTTGAATTTAAGTAAATACACAAAGGTAGTTCTAGAGAAATCATCAATGAAAGATATAAAGAATCTGTAGCCATCAAAAGACTCTAAGGTTGCAGGTCCCCAAATGTCGGAATGGACAATTTCAAAAACTTTGGTAGCTCTAGAGAGAGAATGGGGAAAGGGTAACCTGGTGGACTTAGATTTTTGACAAACTTCACAATCTGAAATCTCTTTACAGAAACTAGGAAAAATAAAAGACATAACATGGGAAGAAGGATGAGCTAATCTCATGTGCCACAGCTGCTCCTTGTTTACTGTGTTTGAGTTTACGTAGAAACCTTTTGGAAAACTTGAAGAGAAGTTGACATAGTACAGTCCATTGAGGAAGAAACCTTTACCAATCGTTTCCTTCGAAACTCGGTCCTGGAAAATCACACAGTGAGTGGAAAAAAATTGCAAGACAATTTAGCAATTGTGTTATTCTTCCTACTGACAGCAACTTGAAAGGAAAGGAAGGGACATGCATGACAAGGGATTCCTTTTTACTTGAGAAGATTTTGAGTTTTCCTATGCCTACTATACTAACTTTGGTGCCATTAGCTACGGAGACAAAAGAAGGAGTGGAGAAGTTTTGAAAATCATTTAGTAAAGATGCATCGTTAGTCATGTGATCAGAAGCTCCTGAGTCGACTATCCAAAAACCACGGCTACTACTAAGATCCAATGCAGTGGAAATAGTTGCAACAATACCTGGCACATCATTTTGTGACACTGAGCTTGACTGTTCGAGGAAGCCAGCAAACTTGCCGAGCATGGCTGCAGGATTTTCATGATTTGTTGTCCCTTGTTTCTGTTGCAAGAAGTTAGCAAATTCATTTATGAGAGTAATGGGACTAGAAGAAGAGTTCATCACATTTTTTGAGACATTGTCGCAAACAAGGTTTCCTTGAGGAGTGTAGGCAGGCTTCATTTGGTTTCTTGGTGCTCTTCCCTCATCATTGAACTTGGGTTTAAGTTCTGGATGAAGAATCCAGCACTTTTCTTTTATGTGTCCAATGCCTGGACGACCTATTTTCACACAGTGAGAACACTTTAAGTCTGGTCGTTTTCCCTTGTATGGTCTGAAAGAGGTGAAGGCTCTTGCTTCTGATGGCCTAGGATCTGATTCTCCAACGACAACGACTGCATTCATGACCTTCTTCCTTATTTCTTCGCGTTGAATAACGTTGCAGACCATCTGGAAGGTGGGAAGCTCAGGTGTCATCAGGAGATGACTTTTAAGGTCCTCATATTCTGGTCCGATGCTGGCAAGCAACTGGAACACTTTGTCTTCTTCAGCACGCTTTAAAAGAATGGTTGTGTCCGTGGTATGAGGTCTGTAGAGATCCAATTCATTCCATTTGGCCTTCAAGTTGCCAAGATGTTGAACAAAAGAGAGATTTCCCTGTTGTAATTCTGTAAGATCTTTCTTCAGCTGGAAGACTCGCGCAGCATTGTTTAGATCTCCATACATGTCTCGTACAGAAATCCAAAGGTGGTGAGATGATACTGAATAACTGAAAATCTCAGCCATCTTTGGTTCCATAGAATTCAACAGCCAAGACATGATAAGTTGGTCTTGGGACACCCATGCTGCATAATCTTGTGAAGTTGTTTCGGGCATGATATCATCCTTTTGAATGAACTGGAGCTTTCCACGTCCTCCAAGAGCGAGAGAAATAGCTCGTGACCAAGGCAGATAGTTGAATTCGTTTAGGAGCACTGAGCTCAAACGTTGAATTGGGTTGGTATCCATAGTTTCGTTTTTTGAAACTTTCTCTGATGATGTTGCCATAATGGCTTTAACTGGTTTGAATTTGGTAGGATTTCGGAAGAACACAGAAGCAGGTCCAAGAGGGATCACTGCTCTGATACCATATAGAAAACCTTAATGTATATTTCAGTATATCAAAACAGTTTACAAGATTAAGCATAAATAGAGGAATAATCGGGAAAGAGAGAGGAGAGTAGGGGACAATGGCAGCTAAGCAAGTCAGCTAAGCAAGCATGAGAGTATGATGACCTCCACACTCTCTTAACACATGCTTTACAGCTTATTAACAAGCTTTACACAGAAGAGGGAATAACACAGCTCACTAAACCCTAGCTAAACACAGCTAACACAGCTTTACAGCTGTTAGGGTTTAAAGAATTCAATAATATTCAATAGAAATAGTGTATGCTGAACAGGATGGAAGTCCATGCTTGTGGGAACTGACCCCAGATTCAAGGTCCGAGCAACAGTCTTTGGGAAATCTGCCGCGTTGAATGCGGTGCTACTTAGTCCTAGATTGATCCCTTGCAACATACCCTACAGAGTGTATAAACAAGTATGGTCCAAATTCAAATTCTGTGCTCATCATGTAGACGGACTTTAAGCTTACCGTTTCCGGAACCTCGGTTAATCGCGTTTTGAACAAATCATCAAAATCCCCAGGACCGCTCACCGATGAAGCTAGACCAGACAATAGAATATCATCAGAAATGACAATACAAGCTTATTCTTTCTCCAAAAAGCATAATATAATAGTGGCCATTACTCCGAGCCTTAGAGAAAAAACTTATAAATAAAAAAGAAAAACTACCTGGATTTGTTAGACTACCAAAACCATTACCTCCTCCCGAAGCAGCTGGATGGTTTGGGGGAATAGATATCCATGCGGATAAAGGTAGGTGAACCAGTGCTGGTTGTTGTTGGAAGGGCTGATAGGAGAAATTCAAGTCATAAATAAAAATAATTTTTCAATTCAAAAGTTCAGCACTCTGAAGCAAAATCATGAATGAAGTAGTCTAAGGGCAGTACCACATTTGCATCCACAGGAAGAATACCAACAACTTTCGGTACAGAACCCATCAGCTGACTGTTTGCGGTTAATTGAGCGAATGAATCATTGGAATTCTTACAAGAGTGATCCACAAATAGGGTGCTTATATCAGGATTCTGTCTAGGATTTGGACAAAGGGAATGCTGCCAATTCAAGCTGCCATATTCATTCTAAATTCAGTTCATTTACAATTTAAAAAAATAAAAATAAAAAAACTGGTAAATGATCGAAAACATCAAACTGGAAGCTGGATTTATGAGAACCTTTTTCTTTTTCTCATGGCGTACAAACTACTATTGTACCTTTGGTTAATGAGAATCCACAACCTTGTTTTATCACGGAAAAGAGGATTGGCCTCGATGAGCTTCTTAAGTTCCATGACCATAATTGTTCTCGCAGTTTTTGCATCTCTTTAACTAGCGAGTTGAGCGTTTTCCCTGCATAACCCCAATCAATTACATAATTCCAGTTGAGAGAATCACACTACAAGCAACTCGAGGCTCACAAAATTTGTGCAGAACACATACCTAAAATTATTTAATGTGAGGAGCTGAGTGATTTCCTTGAACAATTCTTCATTAAAACCCGCGAACATCTTCAGATCCTTAACTAGGATATCCACCGCTGTAGCTCTATCTTGCCTGATGAATTCCAAATGATTAAACCAGATACAATGTCATAACAAATTCAAGAAAAAGAAAAGAAAAAAAGAAGAAGCAGTGCAGCTGTTCATAAACAAAGCGTAAATCTTAACGATTCAAATGCTTACTTATCCAATGCCTCAAGGTACTTCTGCTTACGAATTTCAAAGAAGACCTTCATTGAGTATCGGTTGTCATCTATTTTCGTGAACCCCAAGAGATACCGCTCGACCTCATCCCACTTCCCATCGAGCACCAATTCCTCAAAATACTTCATATTGAAGTACAGTCCAGATTCTTGCTCAAGCCTATAATTAAAATTAAAAAAATTAATTAATTTTAGAGGAAAGCATGAGCTTCAAAAACATGTACAAATATGAAGACACGGTAATTCGGATCGGTAAATTACTTATGACGAGCTTCTTGGAAATTTTCCTCATCAAGTAACTGCATGATCAATAAGATAAGGTCCTTACTGAGAGAAGACGTCATCGCAACGGCTTCTTCTTCTCTTCAACCTTCGAATGGGCCAAGGAAACAAAAATGGGAAAATTAGGTTCACATCCTTCTTTTTGTTACTCCATTGAGTAAATCCTATTCATTTTCAATTTTTAATCAAAGTCCTTGGATATTAATAACATCATTAATTATTTGAATAATAAAATAATTTTATTTTTAAATATATTCCTTTAATGTTAAAAATGTTACAATTAGTATATTTATATTTATAGCTAAATTTTTTTATCATATATTTTTATTTTTAGTTTGTACCTATTTTTTATTTGCAAATATTTTTTAATTTGTACCAATTTTCTTTTCATTTTTAATTTGTACCCATATATCAGTTTCTTTTTGTGCCCATATTTTTTAAAGTTTTATTTGTGTTTGTACTCATGTGTATACCGTCACATGACATTTAATCAATGATAGAAAAATTACATATAGTATATTTATGTTTTATGCCTAAACTTTGTATCATATATGAATATTTTTAGTTTGTACCCACTTTTAATTTGCAACATTTTTTTTTTAATTTGTAGTATTTTTTTTTTAGTTTTATTTTGTACCCATGTATTAATTTCTTTTAGCGCCTATATTTTTAAAAATTCATTTGTATTCATAATTTTTAATTTTTTATCTGTACCCTAATTTATTTCTAATGTACAAATTCTTCTTTATCAATGCACCATTTTGTTATATGTGAAATGTACCAATTTTTTTAACACTATGGATACATTCTTTTGCCATTTATTATTTATTATTTTTATATAGTTTCTATCCATTTATTGAATCAAAATGTTTGAATTTTTTTATTGTAACCGTTTCTAATAGTATTATAATGAGGGATTTTAAATTTATAGGATTATAAATCTCATAAAATATCAAACAATTAATGTCAAAACTATAAAAATATAAATATTATTAGTAATATAATGAGGTGTACAAAGTCAAGGGACTTTAATCAAACTTTGAATATTATTAAGATTTTAATCAAAGAATGTTAAGGATTAGGGACCGCATCCAAAGTATCTCAAACAAAAATTATACATATAACAAGGAAAATGTTTAGAAAAACAGTCATGGTCCATGCTAGATTATAAAAAAAAAGGGTTCAATCCTTGCAAAAATTTCATATTTCTCTGAAAAATACAAGGCTCTACCTCAACAAAAATATACTCTAGATGCAGCAAATCACATAAAAGCATCAATATTTCGGGTAAAAAAAAAAAAAAAAAAAACAAAACTCGTTTCTCTAATAAAATCGGGTTAAAAGATATGGGTTTTTTTTTATAACAGCTCGGAAATCATTTTCCGTCCAGATTTATAACATGCAAAATATGGCAAAATTTGCAATATATGAGAGAGAAAATTAGGGTTCTCATAGAACAAAAACAGTAAAGTAGCCATAACCCAGTAAAATTCAAGAGGGTAGACAGAAGAAGGTGAAGGGGATGAAAAAGCAGGCATAAATGAAGCAAAAGATTAACCCTTTTCAGAGGTAAAGGTAACAAAAAACACACAAAGATTTACCTGCAAAACAGAGAAGAAACAGAGCCAGTGGTGGAAACAGAGGACTGAAAACTCTCTCTCTCTCTCAGAGAGCTCGTTCCTCACGCTGCTGATAAATGGTAATGCGAATAAGCGGAGGGGCAGAGAGATATTATATATAATTGGGCGGAGCCTACGAGGTATACGTTACTGTACTTATCATATAAGTGCAGTGGCGTATGGATAGGGCATGTGAGACAAGTGTCTGTGGGCCCCACTAGGTAATGCTTTTGTTCTGACAGCTGTTTCAGCTTTGTCAAAAGTGGACAGTGATGGACGTTAAAAAAGAAAAGGACAAAGTGGACAGTGATGGTTGAGGTGCTTGTCCGTTTCTGGGACTTGGAATCTCTGCCCTCCCATTTCGGTGCCCTCCCCGTGCCCTCCTGTTTTGTGTGGTCACGGTTAATCCATACTAACATTTTATATTGTTTTTTATAAAAATAATAAGACAAAAAAAAAATAGTAATATAAAATATTGACATGGCTTAACCGTGACCACACAAACAGGAGGGCACGGAAAAGGCACCGAATTGGGAGGACAGAGAATCCAAGTCTCTGAGCCAGTTTTCAGAGAGTGTTCGTCACTCTCTTTCTCTCTCTTACTTGCAAGCTAAGATTTCCAGATAAAATTCTATATAAGATATTACCTTTTTTTATTTTAGAAACCTATTTTAGATGAGGAATGGTTCACGGTTTACATTTTTCATACGATGTTTATATTATTTTTAATGAATTACAACTCACAACACATGTGTGTCTCATATATTTTTAAAAAATGGTATGGATACGGTATGAAAAATGTGGTAAGAGTACCAAAGGTATGAAAAATGTTGTAAGAGTAACATTTCTAGTATTCAAAATAAAAAATGTTGCCTTTATCATATTTTTCATACCATATTTGTATCATCCCTAATAAAAAGGGACTCGCGGGGTGTTGGTGACCCTTACCTCTATTAGAAAGATGATACAAATGTAGTATAAAAAATATGGTACTCTTTGAATACATAATTAAGTAAAACATTCACCACAAATATGTATAGTAACTAAATACAAAAAAAGGGGTAATTCTCTTTTATAGAATTTAATTTGGAAAAGGGTGAGTAGGCATAATAAGTAAAAAAAGTAAAAAATCACCACTTGGTGTTATGACAAACAAAAATATATAAAATGTTAATGCATCGTCATTTTTTACCATGGTCTAAAATATCCATAATATCTCGATATTTCCATCGAAATTTCCGTGTTTTTGGACTACCGATATTTTTTTGGACTACTGTTATTTCCGATATCATCGATATTTTAGACCTTGCTAAGTCACTCATGTATCTTACCATGCAATGTATAAAGTGTAAAATATTGTATTAATTCATTATATATAAATGATTATGGTGTGTTTAAACTACTTTCATTAATTACTACATATTTTCTACACTCACAATGTTTGCTAGCTCGCTATATAATCAACTTAAATCAGTTATATCTATCATGCAATGCATTTCCTTCCAATTTTTTGTAATAAACTAATAGATAATTGACTAAATAAACATTCTGCAAAGTTTCAATAAAAATTTCCAAGTTTTTCTTACAATTTCCGTGGTTTTTATTCAATTTTTATCGATATCGATAATATCCCGATATTTCCATCGAAATTTCCGTGT